AGGGAGGGAGGGAGGGAGGGAGGGAGAGAGAAAGAGAGAAAGAAGAGAGAGAGAAAGAAAGAAAGAAAGAAAGAAAGGAGAGAAAGAAAGAAAGGAGAGAAAGAAAGAAAGGAGAGAAAGAAAGAAAGGAGAGAAAGAAAGAAAGGAGAGAAAGAGAAGGAGGGAGGGAGGGAATAAAGAAAAGAGAAGAAAAGCCAAGAAGAAAGCCACTTAACATTGGATACTTTGATTTTACCTTGCTTTAACTAGATTTTCATTAACAAAGAGGACAAAACATTTTATACCTTAAACCCCAAAAACAAATGCATTGCTCCCAGCCTTTGTCTCCACATTAGATATATAAGGGCTCTATAGTAACAGTTAATACAGAGTAGCAAGGTTATTTGATCATACCTTAAAGATAAGTTCTGGGTTGGAAGCTGCCACCTCTTCAATGTCAACACCGCCCTTAGGGCTGCCCACTAGCACAGGGCCACTATAGGACCTGTCCATCAGAATGGCCAAATAGGTTTCTCTGGAAATATCCAGGGCTTCAGCAACCATCACCTACCACATTAATGGGAAAGTCAAATTTAATTCAGTATCAAGCAGATTTTCACTTGGAAATCTATACAAAGTCACTTCACAAATCAGAGAGCTTCATTTTCAAGGTCCTCAAACAGAGTGATCTAGTATCAGGAGACTCAGGCTTCTGTTCTCGAGAATCACAATGCCCATTTTCACCTCCTTAATTGATCCTGTTAACTTGTTCAAGTGACAAGTATTTAGTCTGCCTCAAGGAACCTTCCCACTTTAATCTTTTTCTTTTCCTTTTTTATTCTTCTTTGAAAAACTGCGTCACATAAGAAAAACTCCAGGGAACAAGCTGTTACTTTAATTTGGCACAATGACAGAACTTATCTATTACTACATTAACTATTCTTGGATTTCATTGGTGGAAAACCAATTTTATACCCAAAGAAGGATTATTTTATGTCTGATGCTTTTTGCTACATTTGTATACTTACTTTTTTATCTTGGATCACCACGTTTTATCCCATTTTATATTTCCACTTACTTTACAAATACAATACTTGGTTGTACAGAATAAATACAGGGACTGAAAGCGTAGCTAAGAGGCAGAGCACATGCTTTGTGCATGTGAGGACTTGAGTTCATTCCCCAGCACTGATAATGATTATGATGATGACAAAAGGTGGCAAAATGTGCACAAAACAGTGATAGTGCAGTCTTAACATGCACAAGGCCATAGGTTCAATCTCCAGTGATGAGAAGGAGAAGGAACATGATGACAACAGCAATGATGCAAATATACAAAAAAGTACATAAACAGCAATGATACAGCATGCCTGTAGGCCCAGGACTCATTTCTTAACATAAAAATATATCTTAATTATTTCTTATTTCTTAGCATATGGTGACTGGTAGAAGTTAGCGAAATCATAAAACCATTCCAATTTCAAATTGTTCTTTGAAAAAATGTCAGTGAGTGAAAGCAATTTTCCTCTTAGACTTTAGGTTGCCTGAGTTAATTCTTAGGATCCCTACATGAGGAGTGGAAGACAAGAGGAACAAAAATATTTGGCTCTATTTTTTCCTTATCAAATACAGTAACAATACAAAATTTATAGAAATAACATGAAATTTCTCTGTATAAGCATCAATACTAATAGTTTGAGAAATGAAGATATTCATCTCTTCTAAAGATTTCCCCAGATGGAGACAGAACTGTTTTAAGAAATAAATGGCATAAGTACAAATACATAATGAAGATTCTAAGTTTTTTTGGTATAGTAGCCTAAATACTGCTCACTTTCTAATACAGAGTGAGCCTAATGAGACACTAAATGGCTGTCAGTATTCTTAGAGGCTCTTTAGGATAAGTGTCATTCAAAAGTCCTGTTCTTCATCTTCAACAGTGTTGACAGATGTGCATTGTATTCCATCAAATTTCTGTTTGCAAAGACCAGCTGCTCTCTCCAACAGCCCCTGCTTGCCAAAAAATAATGTATCACTTCTTAAGAAATTATCCCCAGGAAAATTACTTCCAAGAGAAAACTCAAAAAGTTTCATACAATAATCAGTTTTTAAACACTATTAAACAATGACATCCCTAAGACTCAGGATGGCAGAATGTTTTAGGGATTGTTACAAGATTATCTAATGGGTTTGCCAACACTTTTCTAAGGAGAAACTCAGAGAGATTCATTTCAAAAGAGCTTCTTCTGGGAGATAACAAAGAGTCCACAGTATTAAAAGCTTCTTAACTTTTTTTCTCATGTTTTATCATCAAATCGCTGCTTTTATTTTTTTACATCTGCTATTCAAACTGTGGTCTGTACATGAGAGTTAGTATACAAAATATTTGAAACAGAGTGTGCATAGATACGATTAAAAAAATCAATGTTGGCAGGCAATGGTGGCTCAGTCCTGTAATCAATCCTAGCTACTCAGGAGGCTAAGATCTGAAGACTGTAGTTCGAAGCCAGCCAGGGCAGCAAAGGCCATGACACTCTTATCTCCAATAAACTACTCAGAAAAAGCCAGAAGTGGCACTGTGGACCAAATGGTAGAGTGATAGAACTGAGCAAAAGAAGCTCTGAGACAGTGCCCAGGCCATGAACTCAAGCCCCAAGACTGGAGGGGAAAAATTTTTAAATTTCCTGCAGAGTAATACACAGCACTGTTAGTGATTCCTGAACCACAGGATGAATGGCACTACTTCACAGTCATTCCTGTCCCAAACAACACAGACACACAATCAACAAGTAGGCATTTGTTGTGTACAAATGTGTGTGTGTGTGTGTGTGTGTGTGTGTGTTTAAATAGCACCTCAAGCTTAGAAATTTTTTGTAAAAAAATCTCAGCTTCTGAGTGATGGAGCAGATACACTTTTTCCCATTCCTCCTCTAAGTACAAATAAAACTTGGGGGCATTATATAATTTAAAATTCAAAGCTAGGGCATGAATATAGTGAATACAGTCCTTTTTGTCTTTTGTACTATTTTGTGTTTTGCCTCATAAATCTCAGACTATATGCTGAGAGAGCTGGCAAACCCAGAAATGCCAACAGTTAAAGAAATTTCCAGATCCACTAGGTGAGTCTATCAATCTACCAAGCAATTAGAAAAGAATTATTAACAACTATCGAGGAACATTCTGGGAAGTGAAATTAAGAATTTGCTGCTACTATTGATTGCTATTGAAAAGGAAAGAAAGGAAGGTGGGGTTCAGAGGTTAACACCTGAAATTCTAGCTACTCAATAGGCTGATACAGAAAATCACAGTTTAAAGCCAAAGCCAGCCTGAGCAGAAAAGTCCATGTCTAGTTAACTAACAAAATGCCTGCATTAGAGGCATGGCTCATGTAGTAGAGCACCAGCAGTGAGCAAGCAAGCCTAGAGAGCTCAAAAACTTTTGAGTTTAAGCCCCAGTGGCAGAAAATAAGAAAAGGAAACAATCAGATGCAAATCTATTAAAACACGTTCCAACATATGTTGAACAATCAATGTTTATAGAAGAAATCAAAATAGATCTAAGGACAATCTAAGGACATATCAATGGACTATAAGAACATATAGCAATTCTCTCCCAATTAATATAAAGTTTAATACAATGCCTATCAAAATAAGCTAGGTTTTTCATGAATGAAGGCAAGATAATTTCAAGCTATGTGTTAATAGGTTAAACAGACTTCAAAAAGAATAACGTGAGAATAATCAATCTCCATCACTTCAAAACTCATGATACAGCTGCAGTAATTGAGACTGTGTGGTAATGGTAGAAGCACAGACACACCAATCAGTGGAAAAGAACTCAAAACAGAACCATACAAATAAAACTCAGCTGATTTTTCCAAACATGTAAAGTCAATTCAATGGTGGAATACCATGATTAAATCCTCACTGGACACCAAATTTTGTTGTTGTTGTTGCTGTTGGTCATGGGGCTTGAGCTCTGGGCCTGGGCACTGTCAATGAACTCTTCAGCTCAAGGCAAGTACTCTACCACTTGAGCCACAGTACCACTTCCAGTTTTCTGGTGGTTAATTGGAGATAAGAGTCTCACAGACTTTCCTGCCTAGGCTGGCTTTGAATTGCGATCTTCAAATCTCAGCCTCCTGAGTAGTTAGGATGGGACACCAAATGTGCTGGTACTTTTTTCATGGGCTTCCTGCCTTCAGTGAGAAATAAATCTCAATTGTTGGTGTGCCACCTAGACTGGGGTAAGCTGTTACACACATCCTGCAAAGAGGAAGACACAGGAATCAAATGTTTCCTATATTAGGTCCATAGGCATGTGTTATTTATTATGTACCGATTCTTTTTACCTAACATAATAGCAATACTATATTCATTTAAAAGTAAAACCAGAGCTATTATTGCAACATCACAAATATATAGTAAATGGTGACTTACTATTATCATGTGTTAAAATTTGCATGGATTTGATTGTGACTAAGAAGCATGTATTTAGCTCTTTTTCTTTTATGTAGTAGATATGGTGCTAGATTGTATGATATAAAAATATTTTTCAAACATATTATTTTTTCCTTTTACTATTATATTTGGTGATACTGCATTAATAGCTCTGGATTTACTTTTAAATGAATACACTGGAACAACAAACCACATATACTGATGTGAAAAGAATCCATAATAAAATCAGAAATGCAAGGTCATTGAAACTGAATGTAATAAGTTATTGTTACAGAAATGTTGTAAGCTTATAATGTATACAAAAAAAGGACAAAAATAATGCAAGAAAACTATTTCTGAGTAGTAGGAACATAACTTTTAATCCTAATTCTTCTATTTCTGTACTGCTGAATGTTTTTACGTATTTTAATGATTTCTGCAATCTTGGGGGGGGGGGCTTAAAAAATAAATCTTTGTGGTATTTTCCGGGCAAATGACTCAATTTATAAGAACATACTTATCTTCAGTATTTCAAGAATTTATTCTACAAACTAATTCAGAATTCTATTACTATATAGTGTAAATCTGTTTTATGCATGCATTTTAATACACTTTTTAACAGCATCACAAACTCTAATCTAAACTACCATGTGTTCAAATAAAACAATGAATTCCTACAAATAAAAACAATAATGATGCCCTCTAAAGACAAAGATTACCTAAGGTACCAGGGGTAAAGGTTCACAATCAGACTTAAATGGGAAATAGAAGTAACTTCCAGGCTGAGCAAGACCAAATCAACTGAATGAAACACATCTAAGCATTTCAAACAGTTCTTGAATCCCAGAAGTACTGACAAATGAAAATCACACAATCAGCTTTGAACTTTGTTCCTTTAACAGGTAAAAAAATCCTAAATGCTCTTAGCAGGAAGACTTCTAGTATTCCACTGTCTCTCCAGCTCAGTATCCTGCTCTTGGCTAGCAAAGACCTTCACATGACACATTCAGGATTAGCTAATGATTATGTGTTTAGGTCATGCTTAGAATTTTTCAAAAAACTCTCTCTGAAAAGTATAATAGAATATACTACCACCTTGGTGTCCAGAAGTACAGAACAGATAGCATCAAACAATGATTCTCTCTCAAGAGAAAGTACTCCTCCCTGCCCCCCCCCCACTGTCCTGCAACGTCACCAGTCCCAAAAGAAAGAGCCTTATACAGTAGTAGGATAGAAATGTCTAACCATGGGCATTCCCCAAAGCTGTCACACGTGATGCCCAGAGGGATCCCTCTCCAAAATTTACTTCATGCTGCAGTTGTTTTGAAATTTGAAGACAGGTTTCCACATTCTTATTTTGTAAAAATCACATGTCTGCTTTTGGTGCATCTACATACAAGGATATAACAAAATGATTTCCTGGCAGAGGCAAGCCTCTTTTCCCTGGGCTTGCTTCATTTTCCCCCTACCCCCTACCTCTACTGTGCATACTTGGGTACCTTAACAATCTTCCCTACTATAATACACTCCTAGCAATAAGGGTAACTCAAAACGGTAGTAATCTCAGAGTATGGTTCACAAATACTTTTGAGAAAAACGATCATAACTGGAAATTCTGCCACACAACACTGAGCCCACAGGGATACCTGGGGGCGGGAGAGTCCATCTGAGTGCAAGGCAGTACTGCCAGGCCTGTTTCAGCTAGAACAGAATATGTATTCTCAGTGGGAAAACTGTTGCTCCAGTCACTCCTATCCATTGATGTTTGCTAAATATGTAAGTAAATTTTTTATAGAACTTTTATCTCTCTAGCTCTCCAACAAATTATATGATGCTTAAAATAAATGGCACATTGCCAAAGAGTAGTGCTTTGTTAAGTTTGTCAAAAATGAAGTATGATTGTCTGGGGTTTTGTTGTTGTTTTTTAACACCTACAAAGAAAGTGACCCAAAGCATCTACATTACCTTATTAACTTTCACACCTTCTTTTGGAGTTTGTTTCGTTGCTAGATTATACCCAATCATCTGTTTAGCCAGCTGTCCCACAACTTTAGGGCTAAGAGGGAGGAGAAAAAGAAAAAAGAAAACAAGATGCAATAATTTTAGAACACAGTCCATCCATACATGCAAAATGCACAGGGCTCACCTCCACTCACAGAAATTATGGGACTTCCCTCTCACAGACAACAGAGCTAGTGTTTTAACAGAGGCTTACTAACATTAAATACAAATGTGCAAAGAACAAATGAACTAATGAATGAATGATGCGCCTAATCTCTGCTATCTTCTCCAAGTAAGTTACAGTCACAGAAAAGAGACAATGCTGACATGCATTTAGATTTAAGTTAAGTTGAATAGGACTTTGACAGTGGATGATCTGACAAATACTAAACAATGAGAGGAATCACAGAGGACAAGGATCAATGTAAACAATGAAGAAGCATGCCACGAGATCAGGGGGGAAAAACCAAGTGCTCAGAACTAAGAGAGAACACTATAAAAACATGGCATGGACATTCAATTATACAATGCCACTGATCATGAGGAACCACTGTGGGTCTTAAATGGGGGAAGTGAGGGAGAAAGAGTGGCATTACAACCGTGGCTTTCCACTTGGAAGTGGTATTGTCCCCAACATTTATAATGAATCACTGTCTAGGAAAGAAGTACATAGCTTTCACCAATTCAGGAAGAAAAACTTTCACAGGCTAGCAGATAAAAACCTGGGATACTTCTGAAGCCTTTTACCCACACTTTGTTCCTTCTACTTGCTTTCACCTGCTCCCACCCCTATCCCACCATCCCTCTCAGTGTGCTTTCAATATAATTGCTTAGTCCAAAACCAACCAAGTAAAAACCTCCAGACTTACTCTTTAGTTAAATGAACACCTCCTTTCAAACCACTACTGAAGACACCTTTTCCTCGTCCTCCAGCTAAGATTTGTGCTTTTAAAACAATTTCTTTGGCATCTGAAAAAGAAAAATTCAGTTTGTAGTTGATTTTAAATTCATTTTCTTTTTATAGCAGCAAGGAAAGCAATAATGACATTCCAAGTGACTAGTAAAAGCACTCAAGTCAAATTTGAAAGATAAGGCAATAAAGACCTTCCAAAAACATTACAGTGCCTCCACAAACCTTGTTTACCAAGAATACACAAATGCATCCCACCAGTTCAATCAGCTAATAGTACAGCATCCCAGGAGAAAGCAAGAAAGCAAGGTATTTGTTCTCTTGCTCCAGAGTGTGTTAGAGGTGTTAAATAAACCCAGGTTAGCAGTACTAATTCTACTGGGTAATGGCACTCTCATGAAACAGAGGCACCAATCTGCCAGTCAAAGGAGCTAACTACCTGTCAGCTCTCCAAGTGTCAAAGGGAAGACTGTATTAGATGGGAGAAGAATTTATAGAATTTATAGCAATATTTTTTTAAATATTGGCAAGATGAAAAAAAAAATCCCAGAGTCAGGGGGAAGGCAAGTGGTTGTAGACTATTTGTCTCTTAGCACACTAAGAGAAAAAGAGAATTGTCTATTTTTGACCTTCTGGACTACAGTAACAGCACAAAAGTTTTCTTTTATGGCCTGACAAGCAAGTTGGTTGTCCACTAGACCAGTGATAAATGGAGCCTTCGCAAAACAGAGAGATCCCTCCCTTCCATTAAAAACAAAAATAATCATAAAGTCTCCAAATCAAACATGTTTCGTAAGCAAACAGCAGACATCTAAAGGCCACAGCTAGGATCCTGCTCAGGAACCATCTTTATTTAAAATCAGAAAACCAAATCAGACCATATTCCACAAGACTGCTATGGTTTTCTAGTCAAGATACCAGATTCCGAATCTGCAGATCCAGTTCCATCCTCAACTAAGTTTATGTTAAATGGAAAATTAGTAACTCTGAGACTCAGTTTACTGAGTGAAAAACAAGATGAAAGTTGTTTTAAGAATTAAAGAAGATAGATAAGGCATGAGAACGCTTAACCTCAGAGCCTGAGAACTCAGCTGACTGGAGTTACTGCCTTCATAAGTTAGTTAACTGCCTATCATTAGTATATTATAGAGAATAAAATGGTTAATTTCTGAGGTAGCTTAAAAAAAAATCTGTTGGCATCTTGCCATGTAAGCTGCTCCAACTACTACTCTCATTGTCATTATTACTCATAGGTAAGCAGGCAAAGGTTTGACCTGAAAGAACAACAGCTTTTATCATAAAGGTAATGGGTACTGACAAAAAGATTTTACACTCTCAAGTCGTGAAAATGTCATGACAACTAATACTGTTCCAGCATAAAGGCTCATTCACTGTCTGAGACTTCCTTCTTTTTGTATGTGTGTTTACTCAAAATGCCAGGGTTCACCTTCCACTTGGGAGCAAAAACAATTCCCTCTTAGAATAATGATGTTCTCTATCCTTTTACCATAGCTTCAGCTCCAGATACAAACTATTACACCACCAGTCAAACTTGCTAGTGTCCAACAAGCTGAGCGGAAGACATGGTGACTGCAGGAAATTCCAGAAAATAAAACTAGCAAAATGAATTTACTGCACATTTGGGGTACTGCATATACAAGCAAGGGTCAAAGAGTTAGAGACCTGGGTTAAAAACTCTGATTCTAGGGCTGGGATTGGAATGAAATGTTTGGCTAGGACTCATAGAGGTCTGGGTTCCATCTCCAGCACCAGAAAACAAACAAAACTTTCTCCCAAATCTACCTACCATTTTCTTTGAACAGAAAAGGAAGTTGAGATTCAGAAGGGATTAGTATATGTGTCTATAAATAGATCATATTAAAGGAATCTATAGTGTTATGGTAACATGAAGAATAAATGAAATACAGTAGCTAATGTGCTTATTTCAATGAGTGGCACATTTCAAAAAACAAATATGATAGCTACCATCATTACAATGATTTTTTAGCAATTACCAAAAACTGGTGTGAAGGAAGACATTCCCTATTCATCTTTTGCAGATACCAAGTGGAAAAAGTACTTTTTGCTGTCTACTTAAATGTTTAATTATGATCATTTTAAATTCTTAAAAGGCTAACCAGCACTGCATTGCCATTATCATTTTTCATGCCCTTGTCATCCACAAGAGAGATGCTTCCTCTCCAAGCTTTTGAGCAGCACAAGAGGAAAGCTAGACAGAACACCTAATTGGCCACTGCTAATTGGCACTACACAGGCTGATTACATCAGCTTTTGTCATAGACTTCCAAGACACAGAAACAGCACACTTTCAATACAATGTTGTCAGTAACACGTCCCATCTAACCTCATGTTCAAGAGTAATTCCTCAGGTCCAAGTGGTAAAACAGGCAACCACTAAGGAGATTGAACCACAAATGAGGGCAGCAGGCTCAAACCCTGGAGCTGGTGCATTCTAGGCAAGTACTCTACCACAAATCCACACACTAGCCAGCATCGCAGACCCAACAGAAACCTTGGCATATATTCTGTAACTCAAACCTCAGTCAAAAATTAAGCTCACTGCAAATACTGCACTAACTTAACAATCCAAAAGAAAGCAAGTTTTTCTCCTCTTGAGGTAAACTCTTGTGAAGTTTAATTCAGTAGTTATTTACTACAAGTACTGAAAATCAAGGAAAGTGGCCCAACCCTAGTCTTCAGTAACCAGTATCTTCATTCGAATTGATCCCATTGAATATCCCTCCTTACATTTGAGCATCCAATTTCTCAAAAATCCAAACAAATTCTTTTTATTACCAATTACAAATAATCCTCAAATATGCAGTTTGATTATTTTCTAAATGAATAAGATGATGTAACTATTCTTTAGATAACAACCTTGGCAGGAGGTGCAGGTAGTGGGAGATACTCTAATCTATTTTCTCAAGAAACTGGTTGTTCCTATTCATTAGTAATCATACAATTGGACTAGTAGCTAGTGTAACTCCAAAGTCCATTTCTTAACACCTTTTATGTGCAGTAGCTTAAATCTGCAATTGCTTCTCTATAATTGGCTCATTTCCTGTTAAGTTTCTGACAATGAATAGTGTGTACTCATGGTCAGACTGTTAGTTTGCCAGGAAAGTTTATTCTAATATATATATATAAGTTTATTCTAATATATATATATTTTGCATTTATCAAATATGTCATACAGCACTATTTCTCCATATATACATGTATATAAATGCAAAATGTATGTAAGAATCAAGTGAAAACCTAGAATTTTGAAACACTTGTATCTCAAGCATGAACTTGAAAGCTTTTCAATATTTAAAGACTTCTCTATGAGACTGATGTGACACAATAATGTTATCTTTAAAATAATTGTATAGTAAAATATATGAACATTCAGAAGATCTATGTAATTCCAAAAGGCAAATGTACAATTTACAATATCTCTTCAAAGTTTATGATAAACCAATAAACTTTAATCTAATTGAAGACTCAATAATCTATCACCTTAAGATATTTAGAAAACTTAAACAAAATCTCATCCCAAGGTCTTGTTTTATTCTACTTGATACATGAAAATAATGCATTATGCTAATGTTTTCCTCCCCTTCTTTGCCACAAGTGTTATTTTAATTGTAATACAGTTTTACACCAATTTTTTAGTCTCCTAAGTCTCATACTGGATGAAAAAATATTCCTGGGGACTAGGAAGGTAGCTCAGTGGTAGAGTGCTTGCCTCACATACTTGAGTCCCTGGGTTTGATTTCTCAGAACTACATAAACAGAAAAAGCCAGAAGTGGCGCTGTGGCTCAAGTGGTAGAATGCTTGCCTTGAGCTGAAGAGCTTAGGGACAGCACCCAGGGCAAGAGTTCAAGCCCCACGACTAACAAAAAAAAAAAGTTCTTGGATTGTTAATTCTAAGGAAAAATTATTAAATTAGGAAATTAGGAAAGCTTTGTGAAAGTGGTTTATTTTGTTTATAAGATTTGGTATTTTCTGAAACTTTTTTATGAAAAAAATAATGTTCATTGCACACTGCTCAGAACCACAACAGAGAAGAAAGTAAATGGCCAAAAATACAGAATACCAATGTTATTTTCAGCTATCTTTAAAAAATACTTTACTGATAATGGATTTGTATCCAGTACTGCTCTCTTTGTAATATAACCTTCCCAAGCATCACTGTAGACACAGTACTGCAATGAGATGATGGCTACATCTTCTATTATAAGTCATATGTACATGACACTGCAACAAGATGACTGCTACTATTCTACTCTGAGTCATGTGTACATGGCTGTGCAGTAAGATTAACTGCATTATCCATTCCCAGTTATAGGCACAAAAATGCCATGATAAGATAATCTGCATCATCCATTCTAAGTCATGTGAACATGATATTGATAAGACATGAACAGCATCATATACTCCAATCATGTGTACATGGATACTATGACAAGATAAACCACATAATCTATTCTGAGTCGTGTGCAGATGGTATACAGTGAAATGAAATGCATCTTCTGTTCTTTTTTATGAATTTTTTATGAATTTTTATTGTGAAAATACTGTACAGAGGGGTTACAATTACATGGGCAAGATAATGAGTACATTTCTTATCAAGCATTGTAGCCTCCTCCTTTGTTTCCTTCCCATCCCATCCTCTTCCCATCCCCTCCCAACCCTCCTCCCCCCCACCACCAAAGTTGTAAAGTTCGTTTTCAACATAAAGACTTATATGTCTCATTGTTGCAATGGGTCCGCCTGTATCCCTATTTAAACAATTTTTTCCCCTTTCCCTCCACAAATTATAACAACATCAAATACAGTGAAAGCAGGGGTTATACCATGGGGGAGGGACATACAACAAAGAAATAATCTTATAAATGTGTTAGAAACAATCACATGAAAGAAAAAAAAAATTGAATACACATCTTAGGTTCATTTCCCTAACATCAACTTATCTGACCTTTTCTGCTTGACTCAGACATATACTAGTTATTGCAAATAAGGGAAACCATGGGACCTATGTTTCTTTGGGCC